AAAATATTGGCGTGGATCTATACAAATCCAGAATGAATTTGTTAATACTTTTTTTGGATTTTTTACTTATATTTAATAAATAATACCTGTTTCCCTGCTTGCAAATGCAAATTTTCTTCACATATGCACCCCTTCAGCTCACTGCAGGGTGCATCATTCCATTCGAAATCGGGAATTTTTTAAAAATATTTTTTATGTGTCCATATATTGGCGTGAATTTTTAAATACATTTTTAAAGAAATATTCCTAAGTTTGGATATATCGTTAAATATCTGCTATTTTATTCAACACCCTTGTCACCCCTGTAGATTTCAACACCTTGCCATGGCTTTGGCATAAACTTTGTTCAGCTGAAATTTTTGTCTAACTGCGTAACAATAACGACGTCATTTCTTTGATTACAACCCAGAAACACAACAACAAGAACAATAGCACTCGCATTACAACAAAATTGAATTTTTTTTACAACTACACTCCACAACAACAATCCGAATGAGGGATGTTTACAAAGACGTTTAGAAACCCTTCTTACAACGGGGAAAAAAATGGAAAATTACATTCGAATATGTAATCTGAGGGCAGCCATTGTGGTGGATTTGGAAGGGAATGGAAATGGAGGGGGTTGAAATACAAATATATGTATGTTTCCAAAGCTGTCTCATGCATAAATAATGTGAGGGATTTTTTTTGTGGAATATAAAAGGAATGTTGTTTTATTGACAATAGTCCTTGATCTTGAATTACATCATCGGAATTAGGAAGTGATGAGAAAAAACTTGGTGGCACTTGTTGGGTCAGACCTGGAAGAGGTTCTTAGATTAATATCAGGTCTTCAAATGCCGATACTAGCCTTTATATGTTGAAAGTCTTGCAAGCAAATTGATAATTCGGCTCGCTGGTGCTTCTAATGAAATTGGATTCAATTAACTAAAAGAATCCGATGTGGTATTCCGAATAATTTATTGTACTCTCTTATCGGCATGAACAACAAATTCTTCTTAATCAGTGTCAAAAATGTTTATTAGGGAGGATTTATTGTAATTAAAAAGTTCACGCTTATATATCGGTCATAAAAAATGTTTTTTAAAACCCACGCCAATATAATCCACTCCTATTACTTACTTACTTACACGCCAATATATGGGTCATGAAAAAAATCCACGTCTATTACTTACTTAGCTGGCTTGTTACAGAACGGTTGTTCCATAAGCGGAACTTATGGAACAACCGTCGGTCTTATGGATTTCCAAGCGCGTCGGTCTTGTGCGAATCTCCTCCATCGCCTAGCCATCGTAATCACTGCAGCTCAATACGACTGACAATGTCGATGTCCGCATATAAATTGTAAAACTCGTGGTTCATTTGACGCCGATATTAACCGTCGACGCGGATCGGCCAGTAGGTCTTTCGGAGAATTTTTCTTTCAAACACCCCAAGAGCTGCCTCATCTGCTTGCGCAAGTACCCATGCTTCAGATCCATATAACAGCACAGGTAGTATCAGCGTCTTGTAAAGTGTGAGTTTGGTCTGGCGGGAGGTGACCTTGTTTCTAAACTGCTTACTTAGATCATAGTAGCATCTGTTGGCCCGTGGTGTACGAAAAGCCATTTCTGTTCACTTTTGCCTCTCGTATGACCTTTTTCAGCAAGATGTTAAAAATGTCACACGACAAACTGTCACCTTGTCTGAATCCTCGTTCGGTATTAAAGGGCTCCGAGAGGCCCTTTCCGACTTTAACTGCTGATATTGTGCCAGATAAAGAATGGGTGGAATGTGTCGATGTGTTTTTCGTCTTTTCCAGGATTTGCGGCAGAGTGAAAATCTGGTCAATGGTTGATTTGCCAGGTCTGAAGCCGCATTTGGTATGGTCCAATAATGTCATTGAGCATTGGCTTCAATCGTTCACACAGCACACTGGATAGCACTTTATATGCGATGGGAAGAAGGCTAATTCCTCTATAGTTGGCACATATCGTCTTGTCTCTTTTTTTGTGCACGGGACACAGGATGCTGAGGTTCCAATCATTGGGCATGAGTTCCTCTAGCCAAATTGTACTAATCAGCTGATGCATGCTCCTGACCAGCATCTGACCACCAGTCTTGAATAGTTCGGTTGGTAAGCCGTCGGCTTCTGCTGCTTTATTGTTCATGAACCGATTAATTGTCTTTATGACCTCATCGTAGTATACACTTTATACCGCCATCTGATATTGGTTCTGGGGTATCTTCTTCACCGCCACTATTTGATACCAGAAGCTTTTCAAAATACTCCTTCCAGATCCTCAACACGCTGTCTGTATCTGTCACCAGGTTTCCTTCTTCATCTCTACAGGAGGATGTGCCTGCACCAAAGCCTTCGGTTTGGTTTTTTACCCGTTGGTAGAATTTTCGGACTTCATTCTGACTCTTATACATCTCGATTTGCTCACACTCACGTTTTTCTTGTTATTTCTTCTTTTCTCCCGATAATTCTCCATCGCATTACGTGTTGCTACAGTTTGCAGGGTTGCCCTATATGCTGCGTTTTTCACATCAGTAGCATTACGACACTCCTGACCGTACCACGGATTTCTTCGTAGGGAGTGGGCAATTTTTTGCCATTGAGCTTTTATACTATTATTATCGGGACAAGAAGTGCTTTCGTCAAGTAGGTGGGTAAGTTGAGCGGAGTAGGCCTCGGTTACCTGTTGTGTTTGCAGTTTTCGACGTCGAGTTTCCATGTTGCTGCAACATTATGACAAGTGCGAACCTTGATTGCTACAAGGTAGTGACCCGAATCGATATTCGCTCCTCGGATCAATCGAACGTCTAATACATTGGATGAATGCCTTCCGTCTATCACAATTTGATAAATTTGATTTCTTGTTGCTTGATCTCCTGAAATCCAGGTGGTCTTGTGTATATCGAGATGATTGAATCTGATGCTGCTAACTACCATGTTTTTTGCTACCTTGAAGTCAATCAACCTCATGCCGTTGTCGGATGTTTATTCATGAAGGCTGAATTTTCCGACGGCGGGGCCAAAGATATTTTTCTTTCCGATTTTTGCATTAAAATCTCCTAGCAGAATTTTAATATCATGGCCAGGGCAACGATCATATGCAGTTTCTAGGCGCTCGTAAAAAATGTCTTTGGTCTGTTCATATTTGTCTTCCGTCGGAGCATGGGCGCAAATAAGACTGATGTAGAAGAACTTCGCTTTTATGCGGATTATAGCAATTCGCTCATCTACTGGAGTGAATCTGGAGACAAGGTCTTTTATTCTCCTGTTAACCATAAATCCGTAGCCAAATTCATGTCTCGTTTCATGGCAGCTATAATACAGGACGTAATCGTCTTCTTGAGTAAATCCGCCAAAGTGAAAACTGCGCCTGTTCTGTACAACGTGCGCACATTCCAAGTGCAGATTCACAGATCGTGGTCATTTATACAACAACATTAGGAGGGTTTGGTTTTCTTTTTCTTTGCTTTTTCAAAGTAGAAGGGGTTTTCCCAGTGTTTGCAACTAACCCGATGACTCAACCCATTTGTTTTATAGTTATTATGGGTGAACTCCTGGCACATATCGGCTCACTATTTCAACGGGTGATGAAAATAGCTACCCCAGGTGACACCGCGAGGAGGTCAGTGTCCACAATAGAGATGAAAGGGGGACCAAGATAAGCCTGGACTTCGCCATGTTAAAGCCAAACAGAGCCGTTGTTTGGTATCTATCAACCCCACGCCACCCCCACGCCTATTAGAGGTCATCGAAAATATATTTTTAAAAAGTACACCAATAGGGGACTTTTAAAAAATTATTTTAAAATATCCACCCTAATATATTCTAAAACCAGTGAGCGGAGCAGTATAGTCGGACGGGGCCGACCATACGATACCCTACACAACTACCACGAACTCTAACTTTCTGAGGATGTTTATTCCGAGTCGGAGTAATATTTCGTGATATTTGCCCCCTCTTGTCCGATTAGAGGTTAACAACACCTCTTCCTTACTTTTTTCGAATATTCAGTACAGTCTTTCTAATTACTTGTCCAGATTACCTTCACTGTGGGTTGTGTTGTGATTTTCGGATTATACTCTACTTGAAAACACACAAAAAATTAGTTTTCGGTCCATTTCATCCCAAAATTTTAATCTGATCATCACCGAAAATTGTAGGCGTTGTTCTTGACCATAAGTGGAACTTCATGAAAAATTTCAAAGCCATCAGCGCGATATTTCTCCCTCTAATGTGGTAATGGGTTACTAAATAATATCTGAATACGTAAGCACCTGTAAATATTTGACTGTAACTCCCACATCTGAGTAGATACATCACTATATTTGGTATCAATTTAAACCCCAACCACTCCTCTTGGATATGCTATCAACTTCTCGGGTCTATGTCCTTCAGGGGCAAATATATAAGCAATAGAATACAAAAATTGTAATTTTTCACACAAAAGTCGGGGTCCATTTGACCCGCTAAATATTGACCGATCCTTATCAAAACAGGCATGCTTATTCTTTGGCCCGATCCCCTTCTCCATGTAAAATTTCGCGATGTTCGCGCCATAATTGCGGCCTCTGGAGCGACCAGAAAAACCGACAAAAATTTTGTATTTGGTCCATTTCATCCCCTAAATATTAACTGATCTTTACCCAAAACAATAGGGGTCTTCATTGGCCAGAACCCATTCTACATGCAAAATTTCGTGAAGATTGGTCCATAACTGTGGCCTGTATCGTGTTTACAAATTATAATGGACAGACGGACGGACGGACGGACGGACGGACACACATGTCTAGATCGACTCAGCTAGTCGAGATATGACGATCGGTATACTTAAAGGTGGGTCTAGGACCAATATTTCGCGGCGTTACAAACTTTTGGGGCTGCACAAAGCTATAATACCCTGACAACATAGTTGTGTAGGGTATAAATATATTCGTTGATAATTTTTGTTTACGTGAAAAATATTCAAAAACATTTCAGTTCAATTCTCTGTCTTAAGATGATGAGATTTGCAGTTCCGCTCATAATTTTTGTTGGTCTACAAAATTGGATTTTGGTGCAGACAATACCCGTCGAAAAGTGGTTTCAATTGGATGGAGGAAATGAAACAATTTTTATCGAAAGGGAATATAAAGTATATTTAAAACCCCATTCCGAATTAAAAATAAAAAAATAATAACCGAATCCCTTTTGAATTCCAGTATAATTGGTATCAAGCCCGCAATGAATGCCTTCTGAAAAACATGACCCTAATCACGGTGGACACTTCGGAGAAGAGCGAATTATTGACCTCGTTACTGAAGCGGATATTTGGTAAGCCAAGGCTTTTTATTTCAAAATTCTAAAATCCATCATGAAAATTAATTTCAGAAAAATCCCATAATTTATGGATTGGTGCCGATGAGTTGGGTCAGGAGGACCACTTCGTTTGGTCTTCGACGGGAAAACGTTTCGAATTCACCAATTGGAGTAAAGGTAAGCCCAGTCACAATCAAGGCCAGGAACATTGTGTTAATTTGTGGGAAAGCTCCGATTTCGAATGGAATGATGCACCCTGCAATGAACTGAAGGGGTTCATATGTGAAGAAAATTTGCACTTGCGAGCAGCAAAACAGGAATTACAACACATGAAAAATCTGGTATATGAAGTCTATGAAAGGTGTAGTGGATAAAAAAAATTAATAAAAATAAAATAATAACAAAATTTAAATCATTTAAAAAATCCGCAATTTTAAAAGGACCTCCACGCCTATATAAGGATGCCGAAAAAATATTTTTAAAAAATCCACGCCTATATAAGGATGCCGAAAAAATATTTTTAAAAAATCCACGCCTATATAAGGATGCCGAAAAAATATTTTTAAAAAATCCACGCCTATATAAGGATGCCGAAAAAATATTTTTAAAAAATCCACGCCTATATAAGGATGCCGAAAAAATATTTTTAAAAAATCCACGCCTATATAAGGATGCCGAAAAAATATTTTTAAAAAATCCACGCCTACTTACTTAGCTGGCTTGTGACAGAACTTTCGTTCCATAAGCCAAGCTTAAAGAAAGATTTCCAGGCGAGTCGGTCTTTTGCGCAGTTTTTCTAATTTGAAAGACCATATTCGGCAATGTTGTTTTCCACTTGATCTTTCCATCTTATTCGTGGCCTTCCTCTTCTGCGGAACCATTAACTGGTTCGGTTTTATATCCCTTCTGGGCTGGGGCATCTTCATCACAACATGACCTAGCCAACGTAGTCGCTGCAGCTCAAGGTCTAACAATATCGATGTCCGAGAATAGCTGGTACAACTCATGGTTCACTCGACGGCGATATTCACCGTCAACGTGGATGGGACCATAGATCTTTGGGATAATTTTTCTCCCAAACACTCCAAGAGCTGCCTCATCTACTTGCGCAAGTACCCATGCTTCAGATCGGTATAACAGCACGGGTAGTATCAGCGTCTTGTAGAGTGTGAGTTTGGTCTGGCGGGAGGTGGCCTTGCTTTTGAGTTGCTTACTCAGACCATAGTAGCATATGTTGGCTAGTGATGGCCAACATATCCTTCTCCGAATTTCAAAACTGATGTCATTCGGTATGGCCGTGCCAAGGTTTATAAAATCTTTGACTACTACCTCGAAGCTGTAGTTCTGAAGTTCCACAGTTGATCCGAGTCTACTGGACGTCTTGCGCGTTGATACCATCAGCTTGGTCTTCTCGTCGTTTACTGCCAAACCCATTTTGGCAGACTCCTTCTCAATTTGTTCAAAGGTGGCTGTTACCGCCCTCAGTGTTCGACCAATTATGTAAATATCATCGGCGTAGACGAATAACATGTGTTGTTTGGTGTACAGAGTGTCATTTCTGTTCACTTTTGCCTTTCGTATGACCTTTTCCAGCACGACAAACTGTCACCTTGTCTGAATCCTCGTTCGGTATTAAAGGGCTCCGAGAGGTCATTTCGGACTTTAACTGCTGACCTTGTGTCACTCAAAGTTATCCTGCAAAGCCATATTAATTTTGCAAGAATGACCTTTTCCAGCACGACAAACTGTCACCTTGTCTGAATTCTCGTTCGGTTTTAAAGGGCTCCGAGAGGTCCTTTCCGACTTTAACTGCTTATCTTGTGCCAGTAAAAGTTATCCTGCATAGCCGTATTAATTTTGCAGGAATACCGAACGTAGACATGACTTTAAACACCTCTGAACGGATAGGGCTGTCGAATGCGGCTTTATAGTCGACGAATAGGTGGAATGTGTCGATGTGTGTTTCGTGGGTCATTTCCAAATCCTGGCGCATAGTGAAAAACTAGTCAATGGTGGATTTGCCAGGTCTGAAACCGCATTGATATGATCCAATAATGTCATTGACCATTGGCTTCAGTCGTTCACACAGCACACTGGATAGCACTTTATATGCGATTGGAAGGAGACTTATTCCTCTATAGTTGGCACATATCGCCTTGTCTCATTTGTTGTGCACGGGACACAGGATGCTGAGGTTCCAATCATTGGACATGTATTCTTCTAGCTAAATTGTACTAATCAGCTGGTGCATGTTCCTTACCAGCATCTGACCACCAGTCTTGAACAGTTCGGGTTGTAAACCATTGGCACCTGCTGCTTTATTATTCTTCAGCCGATTGATTGCTACGCCTCTATAAGGATGTCGAAAATATATATTTTTTTTTAAAAAATCCATGCCTATAGAAGGACCTCGAAAAAAATATTTAAAAAAAATCAATTTTGAAAACAAAATATGTATATAAAAACTTTTGTATTACAATGAAAGTAATTGATTTATTAAATCCTTTTTCAATTCCAAATCACGCTTGCTTAAAGCCAAATATGGATTCTCCTCGCAAATGAAACCCATTTTATTCACACAGCGGGTATCGTTCCATTCATAATCGGTTGTCTCCCAAATATGGACACAATGTTCCATGTCCTTGTAATTATCCGGATTACCCAAATTCCAGTTGGCAAAATCAAAACGTTTTCCCGTCAATGGCCAAACAAATTGGCCCTCCTCAGCCAAATCGTGGCCGCCAAGATAAAAATTGAATTTTACTAAAAGGAAAAAAATATATATTAGAATTACAAAAAATATTTATAAAAATATTTCCCCTACATTTTTTTGTTCTCAGTAGAGAGGTGAGAGCGGCACTTTTTGCCGCCGTGTCCACAGTTATCAAGGTTAGGTTTCTAAGGGCACATTCATTCCAGGCTTGATACCAGTTGTACTGTAAATCGAAAAATACAGATATTTCTCTCAAAAATAAATGTAAAGAATTTTTTTACCTTCTGTTCGGTATCAATAAAAATTCTCCCAAAATTATCCATTTGATGATATTTATCCTGGGGTATGGCCTGTATCTTTGTGATTAGCACGGCTAGTAAGAAACCGCAAAATAGAAAATTGTTAATACCTCTTGCCTTCATGATTGTCTAGCGGATTGTGATTTTTATTCGCACAATTTTTTGTTTATATTTATTCAAGTTGTATTCGTTTTTAAAATTCTTGGCAAATTGATAAGCAGCCTCATCTGGAGGGGAAGCACAGAAAGAAAAATCTCTCAGTGACCTTTGATAAGAATTTGAACACTTCCCCACATAACAATTAAGCAAAGCAAGGGAATTCCTCACGGTGATTCGAAATAAAATTTAAAATTTAAATAGAAGTGATTTGAAATAATAAATTCCGTAGGTCTTTGAAAAATATTTTTAAAAAATCCGCGACTATATATGGGTGGCGTAGGGGATGATAGATACCAAGCAACGGCTCTGACGAAGTAGCGAGCTAATATGTGCCGCGAGTTCACCCATAAGAACGATAAAGAAATGGGTTAAGGCGTCGGGTTAGTTGCCCACACTCGGAAAACCCCTCATACTATGAAAAAGCAAAGAAAAAGAAAACCAAACCCCCCCTAATGTTGACACCCGCAAACGTATAAAGGACCACGATCTGCGAATCTGCACTTGGAATGTGCGCACCTTGTACAGAACAGGCGCAGTTTTCGCTTTGGCGGATGTAGTCAAGAAGTAAAAAGCCGATATTATTGCCGTACAGGAAATGCGATGGATTTATGGTTAACAGGAAAATAAAAGACCTCGTCTTCAGATTCACTCCAGTAGATGAGCGAATTGCTGTAATCCGCATAAAAGCGAAGTTCTCCTACATCAGTCTTATTTGCGCCAAAGACATATTTTATGAGCGCATATGATCGCTGCCCTGGCCATGACATTAAAATTCTGCTAGGAGATTTTAATACAAAAATCGGAAGGGAAAATATCTTTTGCCACAACGTCGGAAAATTCAGCCTTCATGAAGAAACATCCGACATCGGCATGAGATTGATTGACTTTGCGACAGCAAAAAAACATGGTAGTTAGCAGCACCAGATTCAAGCATCTCGATATACACAAGGCCACCTGGATTTCTCCTGATCAAGCAACGCGAAATCAAATTAATCATGTTGTGATAGACGGAAGTCATTCGTCCAGTGTATTAGACGTTCGGTCGATCCGAGGAGCGAATATCGATTCGGACCACTATCTTGTAGCAGCCTCGGTTCGCACACGTCTTAATGTTGCAGCAAAGGGGCGATCTAACACAACACGGAAACACAACTTACCCACCTGCTTGACGAAAGCACTTCTTGTCCCGATAATAGTATAGAAGCACAATGGCAAAGAATTTCCCGCTCCCTACAAACTGCAGCAAAAGCAGTACTTGGATACCAAAAACCACCACCAAGAAACCCATAGTACGACCAGGAGTGTCGTAATGCTACAGATGTAAAACGCAGTGTATAGGTCAACCCTGCAGACAATAGCAACACGTAATGTGAAGGAGAATTACCGGGAGAAAAGGAGAGAGGAGAAACGTGTTGAAAAAAATAAGAAAGAATAAGAAAAACGTGAGCGTGAACAAATCGAGATGTACAGAATTCAGAATGAAGTCCTGAGTCGGAGTAAAACACCAAACCGAAGGTTTTGGTGCAGGCACATCCTCCTGTAGAGATGAAGAAAGAAACCTGGTGACAGATACAGACAGCGTGTTGAGGATCTGGAAGTAGTATTTTTAAATAGTGGCGGTGAAGAAGATACCCCAGAACCAATAAGAGATGACGGTATAGAATGTATGCCACGTAGCCAAGATGAGGTCAGAATAGCAATTAATCGGCTGAAGAACAATAAAGCAGCAGGAGCCGATGGGATACTAGTCGAACTATTCAAGACTGGTGGTCAGATGGTGGTTAGTAGCATGCACCAGCTGATTAGTACAATTTGGCTAGAAAAATGCAGGAAGGTTCCAATCATTGGGCGCCTCAGCATCATGTGTCCCGTGCACAAAAAAGGAGACAAGACGATATGTGCCAACTATTGAGGAATTAGCCTTTTTCCCATCGCATATAAAGTTCTATCCGGTGTGCTGTGTGAACGATTGAAGCCAATGGTCAATGGCATTATTGGACCTTACCAATGCGGCTTCAGACCTGACAAATCCAACATTGACCAGATTTTCACTTTGCGCCAAATCCTGGATAAGACCCGCGAAAAACACATCG